GGCTACACTGGGTGATGTACTCACCTGCCTTAGGGTAAGTTACGACCCAGATGTCATCTTGGTAAACTGGGAAGTTATCATATTTGGAGTACCAGTCTGTGTAGAAAGAACTCATTATGACACGTTCTGGTCCCACTTTCACGAACCCTGAGAAGTAAATGGATATGTCCTGAAGACGGTCCATATCAGTACCGGAGACAGGCACCATCCTCTCACTCCCGCTGGGGAAGACAGTGAAATATTGTTAATGTGTTTCTACGTTAACGATGGAAGAGTAAAAGTCACAATATATCTGCTGGAATAAAAACACAGCTAATCCCAAATTTGATAAGTTGGTCGTCGTTTCAAGTGGCATTTGAAGGTACCTAACAACTGTCTGGCAGAGAATTCAGTGGATGAACAAAATTTCAATGATAGAGAATTGATAAAACCCTTTGATAGATGCAACGATAAAATATGTGAAATTATATCACATAAATGTGTAAGTTTTTTATAAGATAATGTAGTCTTTTTTTTGTTCACCTGACAAACTAAATGTTACTGTAAACAGAATAAGACGAAGTTTAATTAAAACATGAAGCGAAAATATAACTACTGTTAAATAATTAAGTGGCAAATATATCACTTAAAGTACTGGATGTAGGGAATGATCAGTATTATTTACTATTTAAAATAATTATGGCAAAAATATCACTAAAAGTATTGGATTTTAGTGATTAACTATAAAATGCAGTACATTTTAATTACGAATTTTGAACAAGACAATTTAATGCATCAGTGCCAGGCCAAAGCAAAATATAAAGTATTGATGAGAGGGTTGTAGAGCTTAGGTGCAACAGTTGCTGACGTTGGGAGTTAGGTGGTGTGGGATCTATCTACGTATGGTGAAGTAGTGTATCTTTAGAAGGAAATAGCAGTTTAGTCTTTTAGCAGTTAGTAGAGTTACTGAATGTTGACAATGTAGAAACCATGTTAGTGACTAGTATAAATCTGTTAAGTTCTACGATCTTTCAACATTATCTCCGCTGTTACTCACATAAAGTAACTTTTACCACTTATCGTTTTTTACTTCTCTCTTCTTATTTACCTTCAATTTTTTTGACTGTTCAGTCTTACCCCTCTCTGTCCTTCTCATCCCTCTTATGGCTTACAAAAACATTCTGTGTATAATTCTAGTTCCCTTAGAATATAACCCACCACTGGCTGGTACATACTGCTAGGTAAACAGGTAGCAGGTGTTAGGGAAGATGCGCATGGGCTAAGATTCACCTTATAAATCTTGTAACCAGCTGCAGCGATTTGTTAGGGTTGCTCCTCAGTACTGGTGAAAACACGTGTCGTGAGCAATCCCAGGTCTCTCAGTGTGTGAGCTGAAGACGCTACCACCCGAGCCATGAGCCAAGGGTATCGACGGGCACTCATAACCACTAGTAATAAATGGTTTCTCGAAAGATGGACATTATAAAAACATATCCCTCACATTCCTTCCAGCTCAAGCTTTATCACTGCAGCTGATTACAAAATTTATTTTAGGAATGTTTTCAATTTATAGTTTAGAGGCGGAACCTGTGACTGTCACTGTAAATTTTGACAAAGGAAATTAGTCGTTCTCTTAGACTCTTATGTATTGCTTGTAGAATTTTAATTTTTAAAATCAATTAAAAACAATAATCTTTGGAAAAATTTATTTGCGCTACGCGGGAAAGTGAAATGTATGTGAGAATTTTTACTGGTGGGTGAATGATTTAATGTCATCCACTGCAAATGTAATCGAAAAACCTGCTAGCTATTGCCCAACCACCTGCTGCCTCGCCACCACCTGCTGCCTCGCCACCACCTGCTGCCTCGCCACCACCTGCTGCCTCGCCACCACCTGCTGCCTCGCCACCACCTGCAGTAGCACGCAGCCTGCCAAACTCCAGGCCCCCCATTGCTTCCCAGTGGTTTGTGTTCGCCCGCTAAACCCCGTAGGTTTATAAGGGTATGTGGGGGGTGTACGTATTCAGGTAAATTGGGGAACCGGAACACGATCCAATTTCCTAGATCAAGAGCTCTCTCCCAGCGTAAGGAACCCCCCTTGGGGTTTGCAGTTGATAAAGGACGAAAGGGACAAAAGTAGAGGGGTTTCAATTTTGATATTTTTTTTTTTTTTATTTTTCTTCTGTATAACGCCAGTTTTTCCCCTCAATGCCTGTTACCTGTTTCCCTTCATAATTCAGCCCTAATTCATTGCTCACTTATAGAAAAGGGCGATTTTGCTTCTTATGTTTCTCTTGAGAAGTAGAGCTTCCTCGTTAACCCCTTGACCTAGTTCCCTAAAACAAAAAAGCAACCCTGGTGCTCTAAAAAAATACCCTGGTGCTCTAAAAACGCTACACATAACCTGAAACAGCTAGAACAGGTATATCGCCTTGTCTGCCCATAGAGTATTTTGGTAAAGATGTTTTTTGGGTTTAATGACGAAAAAAATTTTTTGTTAGTACTACCCGGGGCAGAATATGTATGTGTGCCGGTAGGTTAAAAATTTGGAAATTGAAGAAATTTATTTAAAATTAGGTTCCTCTGAAAATTTTTTCCCCATTCGTTTGAGGGAAATTTTTTTTTTTGTTAATGTAAAAAAAAATAGTCTTGACCAAAGGAACTAGGAAAATTACCCAACCTTTTTGTAAAAGCGTAATTTAATAAAGCAAAATCCAAATTAAAATATTTTACATAAACTTACAGTAATTTAATAAAATACAAACAAGAAAAATATTTTTCGTTAGGTTCCCAAAGATTTTTTCGAAATTATTCATACAAAAAATTTCGCTTGACTTATTCGGGAAAAAGTTTCGTAAAAATTTAAAAATTTACCCATTTGTCCGACCAAAAAGGGGCCAGGAGCTGGTACGACCCCTGCAACCCAATTAGGGGAGTACAACATACACACACAAACACACCACACATACACCCAAAACACATACAACACAAATACACACAAACAAACACATACACAATAAAACACCACATACACACAACACAAAAACCACAATATATATAATTTATATATTATATATATATTATAATATATATATATATATATATATATATGTATATTATTTTTTTTATTTAATGTCGGCCGAATAGGGAGAAAATTGCGTCTTGCTTAAATAGCAAAAGCTCTTTGCCATAAAGACAAGTGAAAATTTTGTATGCAATAATTTCGCCCAAAAATTTTTCTGAACCTAACGAAAAAATACATTTTTATTGTGTTTTTTTAGTACTAAATTATTGTAACGTATTTAAAATTTTTAGTTGGGTTAGGCTAAAATAAAATTTTTTTTGTTTAATAAGGTTAGGTAAGTTTCTAAAAACTTTTTCAAAATTTAAAAATTTTTAAACAATATTAAAGAAAAAAATATATTTTTAAAAGTAAAGGAAAAAATTTTAGAAAGGGGCTTAATTTTAAATGAGTTTTTGTAAATTTACCAGTTTTACATATTCGGCACGCATATATATATAATTTATATATTTTTATATTTATATATTTATATTTATATATA